ATATTCATTAAACGGCACGTCGGCCACATGAAAAGCTTACATTGTCTCAAAAACAAAGAAGTACAAAGTGTAAAAAATAAAGGAAAAAGACATCAAAACTAAGATTCCTCAGCATCATTAGCAGGTTGAGTCTGGATCTCGGAAGACTGCTGGAAGGAAATCTCGGCCACCTTCTCGGCCGCAAGCTCAGCATCAATCTCTTGAAGGGTCTGATCAAGGCTCTTGTCGACGAGAGGCACGTCCAAAGATGCCTGCTCAGGGGTAGCTTCCTTAGGGACCTCCTCAACCTCCTCATCTTGAGTCAAGTCTAGGACTTGCTCATTTTGAGGAAGAGACTTGGCCCCAGCAACGTCTTTTGACTTCCTCACCAAAACCTCCTCTTTGGACTCAGAGTCGTTGTCGGTGGAGTTGGGGAGAATGACAGAGGAAGGACATCGACATTCCTGAGAGGGGAGTCCTCGGGGACATCAAGCCTTTTTAGCAAGGTCATCCAGCCAAGGGTGAAACCCTTGTTGCATGCCTGCTTCACTTGCTTTTCATAGTCTGCCAAGACATCGGCCACCCCTTCATTATAGCCCTTTTTATCGGCTGCCTTGACTTCGGCCTCTTTGGTGGCCAGAGCGTCTTGCAGTTCTTTTTGGGTCTGGGCCATTTTCTCCTTGGCATCCTTCTTTTCGGCCTCAAGCACCTTTTGATGGCCTCAGCAGAGTCCGACTTTTCTTCAACGTCATTTTGAGCTTTGATGGCAGCCTCGGCCTGGTCTTCCAACTTTTTCATTTTTGATTGCAAACTTCTGTTGGCCTTTTGAAGACTGGAGACCTCCCTCTTCATTTCGGCTAGCTTCTCCCGATTCTCAAAAGATTGTACTGAGAAAGAATAGGCATGTTTGATGGCTTGAAAGTAAACAGAACAAAAGTTGCTAGAAAAAATTACAAGTATGGAATGAACAGAAAGAAAGAAAAAGTTGCCAGATAAAGACACTTACTTGAACGGAGCGTTGAAGCATCAGAGCGTAGTTTTCATACTCGCTCAACTCGGCGTTTTGGTCGAGATCGCCGGGAAGAAGCATAGCGGTACTGAGGGCTACGCCAACGTTAATGTCATCAGCGCTATCGTTGGCCATAACTGGCTTGTCTTCCAGAGTAATTTTGGAGGCCCAGGGGGCATCATGCTTTTGAGACCCCGAGGTCGTTGCAGAAGATGACCTCGACCTTTTTGATCTGATGGATTCAGATGGGTGTGTTTCAGCAGACCTCTTCTCGTGGACAGAGGCAGTCTTCTTGCTCTCAGCCAATTTGGAAATTGGCAAGGTGTCCTCAGTATCAACCTGAGTCACCTTTGTCTTTGGTTGAGCCTTTTTTATTCTTTTTTGTTTTTGTGGAGGCTGGGTCTGCGTTGGCTGAGCGTCAACGTCGGAAGGGATGCTGGCTAAGAGGTCTTTTACAACTACTTTTTGACGGTCCATCTCAGCAGCAAAAACGGATCGTCGCCGGCGTTGGCGTTGGGATATCGGGATCAAATATGGGGCCGAGGTTGACGGCTACTCGGCTGGATCAGAGATTGATCCTTGGTCTGTCCAAGATGTGGACGTGACTTGTGGAGTTGTGGCAGAAGGTGGAGAAAGGCTTTTCTTCTTCTTTTTCAGGACGTCGGGAAGAGTCGACATATAAGTGGGGATGAAGTTGAGAAGTAGAGGGGCCTTCCGCTTGTGGACTGGCAAATTCAGTAGTTTCTTCAAGTCTTTGTTGGGAAAGAAAGACTGACGGAAGCTCTTTGGTGACTGAGGAAGAACTGCAAAAAAGAGAAGCGTAGACATTAGAGCAGAATGTTAAAAACTTTATGTAAGAAAGCAAAAAAATTTGTGAAGGGTGGCCCTTACCAGCTCCTTCCCCGAAAACTGTTCGACTTAGGGGAAAAAGATGGAGGTCATCGTTTGGCTGAAACTCCCAGTTACCTGAAACAATGACGTAATCATCCCCCGCTCCCTTGTTGGAGTCAGGGAGGTCGACAATGATTTTGTATTCCGTGGACCTCGGCTTGAGGTAATAGATGTGGCATTTTTCCGATTTCAGGCGACACATGGTATAACAGTACTGGAAATCGGCAAGGGTAATCCTAGCATTGTCTTGTTTGGCTAAGGCTATGGTACCATTAATAACTCGGTAAGAATTGATGGCAAGCTGCATTGGGTTCAACCTATAGAAATGAAGGATTTCATGAAAAAAATGGTCAAGTGGAAACCTAAGTCCGCACTCGATAAAGGCCACTACAGGGAAGGGCATAAAAACAGTGGTGGGCATGATGGAGTCATCATCCCCAGCTAACCTCAGATGGACGTCGGCAGGGATAGAAAACTCTCGCCTAAAGAATTCTAATTTTGTCGGGGTGTCTACCCTATGCTTCCACATACCCATGATATCGGTTTAGCTAGAAGGAACTGGATTTCAGAATGAAGGTGTTTTAAAAGGGTTATTGGGACCTCGGCAAAAACCTGAAGTATGTGCTGGGTAAGAATTTGTGAAAATAGTTTCAGTTTTTCCTAAAAATCGAGGGTTCTACAAGCAAATCCCAAAACCTAGATCTAAGGAAACGAAGATTGAATGCATGGATCTGGAAAATAGAAAAACAGGGATGCGTTTCAGAATCAAGAATGGTGATGAAGCCATCAAGAAATCAAGACAAAAAGTTTGCACAGGTGTATTAGGCCAAGAACAGTGACAGAAATCAACAGGAGTATGAACAGTGTATATTTAAGAAGATGATTTGGGTAAAAACAGAATCACGAAACAAACATGTTCAAATATATGGTGGAATACAAGATGCGAGATGAAATATCAAAAATATGAACAAGACTGCAAAGACAACAGGTAAAACAGTAAAGTTCAGTAAGGTAATAAGAAACTGAAATTAGAAGGAATAGTGGCTTACCAGAAAGAGGGAAGCCGGAATGGGGATTGCCGAAGTCTGACGACGGTTGCGAAAGCGGAAAATCGGTGAAAATCGCGCCGAAGAGGGTAAACAGAGTAAGTTGCAGAGCTATGGAAGCTTGAACAATGGCGTATTCAGAAGCTAGAGAGAGTTGAGATTTTGAAGATAAGAAAGTGAGAAGACCAAGAGAGAAGAAAAAGTTTTGTTAAAACTTGAAACGGCGGCAAAACAAAACTAAATGCACCTAAAACAACGTGAGCGTCAGATGGTGCATGCATGCGCGAGACGATTAAGAAGCACGTACCAAGTACGATCTAATAAGAGAAGGACACGTAGCTAAAACGGTTGAATTGTGATGCGTGACAGCTCATACGCGTGAAGAAGCTCTTGGAATTCTTGACCTTTAAGAAGACATGTCGGCATATAGTGATGAACTCGGCTTAAGCCGATGTACTGGCAGGAAGTACCGATATAGGTTCCATCACCTCAGAATGCAGAGGTAACAGAACCTAGGGGGCAGTTGTGGGGATATATTTTCTGAGTACCAACACGTGGCCAAGGTGATGTCGACGTGTCAGCCGAGGTGCCACGTGTCCAGGTCATGATGCCGAGGTTATCTTGGCAAGGCCGAGGTTATCTCCGAAGATATCGGAATCCGAGATAAGCGGATAAGGCGATAGAGGGGCACAGATGAACGAACAGTGTAGGTTCCATCACCTCAGAATACCGAGGTAATAGAACCTAGGGGGCAGTTGTGGGGATATATTTTCTGAGTACCAACACGTGGCCAAGGTGATGCCGACGTGTCAGCCGAGGTGCCACGTGTCCAGGTCATGATGCCGATGTTATCTTGGCAAGGCCGAGGTTATCTTCGAAGATATCGGAATCCGAGATAAGCGGATAAGGCACAAGAGTCCTAGAATAAGGAAGGACTTTAGTATGGATAAAGATAACACTCTTAGGGAGTTTATCTTTATCTCTTGGAGAGTTCAGGATAAGCACTAAGTAAGAGTCCATTGAAGCTAGGCTTCTAGTAGGACAAGGATTGAGTTAACTATAAAATAGAGACACCCCGATGGGTCTAAGGTATGCAATTTTATATTCTGAACAGTGAGTTTAGCACTATTAATTATCTTTGAGAGATATATTGACTTGATTGTCGGAGTACCCCCGGATGGACGAACCACCGCCGGAATCTTCTCTTTCTGCTGTAGGTCAGCCAGGAGTCATCTATTCTGCCAGTTCTCTCCAGCTGATTACTGAGTTGGCAGTGTAATCGGAAAATCACTCACACGCTAATTATTAGTTACCAACTACAAATTGTTGCTTCAATGTTGTTAAAAACACAGACTCTCTTTCACACACACACACACAACCCTTATTGTTAGACTTTACATAAAACCCTTATTGTTAGACTTGACATAAATTTTTATAATTTTTTACTTTATATGTGTCAATACCATATACTATTATAATAAATTTTTACTTTTTATTTGCCAATGCCATGTACCATTTCAGTAGATGTTACCAATCACGATTGACATATTCAACACAATCACACGAAGATTGACTCTAATTACTATTTACCAACTCCAATTTTTAATGTGGATTTTCATGGTTAAAAAAAAAAAAAATTGTTTGGATTGAGTTTTATTATAGTTGGTTTTATGTTTTATTCACATAAAAAGTCTCTATCTTAAGAAAAATCATTAGTTGGTCCAAAAACACCACATAATTATATCCTGACCAATCACAAATCACTATACTTCTCATCTTCTCCAATCACTCAATACAAAATCATAAACCTTATTTCCTCTGTCAATCACAATATGCATAGAGTGCTACAGGACATTACCTAAACCAACTAATAACTTTTCCTACTCCCAAACCAAAATCCAAACCAATTCTCACTAGGCCCATGAAGTTTTGGGCTTCATGTAATTTGTTTCACACTGGGCTGAGAAATTAACTCCAAACAGTTCCTAATAAAGCAAGGCCACCCTAACTAATTTTAAATTGAAAAATTGAAAATATTGACTCAGATAACACATCTAATATATAGTGTCACGTAAATTAAAGAGCAGGGAAGGCAACACAAATATTTTTCTCTCTCCTCTCCCCCCGTTTTCACCCTCTTTTGTTCATCGACTTCTTGTTTCCAAACGTTAGAGAGAAACCACAAAGAAAAAGAGAAGAAGGAGAAGAAAAACGATTCGCTCTATCAAACGCTGATCGATACAATTCAACGCTATTTCGCTTTTTTCTAGGTCGTTTATCGGTAGATCTGCTCACTAGTTTCTGTTCTTTTCCCGAGAAAATCTTCGGGCTGGGCGAACTCAAGTGGTGAGTTTTCCACGACTTGTGATTGGAAATGAGTTTTGATTTTATTTTTTTCGTATTTTGTTATTTTTTGTGTGTAATCCATGAAAAAGATGTTGCTTTGTGTTTGTTGTTGTCGTTGTTGTGCAGAGATGAAGCGATTACGAGATGATGTTCATGTAAACTCACAATTTAAGCGGCCGTTTGGTTCTTCACGTGGGGAATCGTAAGCTCTATCTCTATTTCTATATGTAGTTATTCATTGTATGTACCTCTTTTGTTCAATTGATTGATTCTCGAGAAATTTTTTGGTTTGCTTTTGGTTGATTTTGTATCATGCAAGTGGATTTTGCTTAGAAAAATTGATGTTCTGGCTTGTTTCGCGATGGATTTGCTGTATGATTGATCTTTTTCCTTTTTGATAGGTGCATTTTTGCTGTTACATGATGTTAGGTTTGATGATGAGTTATAATGGAATTTTCCTGAATTTCTGTTTTGGGCTTGTTTGTTTTACTCACTGGCTTCAGTAGGAAAATTTTTGTGATCAATAATCTGGGCGAGATTATCTCTGTAATCGGATTAGGTTATATGGCCATTTAGTTGGCAATTCAACTTTGGGAAAGAACTGGAACGGAAATTTATTATCTCTATGCATTTCATTGACTGGTTTCTTAAAAAAAAAAAAAAAATGAAACAAAACAAAAATAAATAAAATAATTAAAAAAAACCTCAATGGAGCAAATAGTTACACATATCCATACAGAGCAGACATTTTTATTTTATTTGTTTTTAGATTTTGATAATGAAAAAGCTATTTTCTCTGTTTGAGGATTAGCTTAGCAGAAATTGAGATAACAGTATGTAACTATTTCTGAAAAGGCATGGCCAAAGTGATTAGAAAAAAAATAAAATAAAAAAACCTTGTGTACATAGTGCGCATCAACTGTTTTATGGATCTCGTTTCGGTTTACTGGTATTATTATTTGCTATTTTTTAAAATATTTTAAATACAATATTTTTCTTGTGATGAAGCTATGGGCAGTCCCAGATCCCAGGAGGAGGTGGTGGTGGAGGAGGAGGAGGTGGTGGTGGTGGTGGTGGTGGTGGTGGAATCCACAAGCAGAACACCGTTATACTTTTTTGCTGCTTCATAGCAATCGATCACCGCCACCGGAGGAGGAGGAGGAGGAGGAGGAGGAGCTACACAGAAATTAACAACCAACGATGCCTTAACCTACCTCAAGGAAGTTAAAGACATGTTTCAAGATCAAAGGGAAAAATATGACATGTTCCTTGATGTCATGAAAGATTTTAAGGCCCAAAGGTACATGCTTTCTCCATGTAGGTTTATCACGTGGCAAATGGGTCAGCGTTAAATATCTCATCAAATTCATTTCATGAGGTTGTTTCTTGTAGAATTGATACTACTGGTGTCATAGCGAGGGTGAAAGAATTATTCAAAGGGCACAACAATCTAATCCTTGGCTTTAACACATTCTTGCCAAAGGGTTATGAGATTACCCTCATTGATGAGGAAGAGGCCCCGCCAAAGAGAACTGTTGAGTTTGAAGAAGCTATAAGTTTTGTAAACAAGATAAAGGTGAAACTCTTTTTGAATTGTTTATGTTGAGCCACTGATTTTAATTTATGGGGTCTGATTAATGGACTTTCTCTCTACAGAAACGTTTCCAAAATGATGATCATGTATATAAATCGTTTCTAGATATCTTGAATATGTATAGAAAGGAGCACAAGGGCATTACTGAGGTCTACCATGAGGTGAAACTGTTATTGGTTGTTGGTGTGGTTATTTATATCACGTCTACTGATTTTGATGGTTTTACAGATTGTATTCTCTTGCTTTGCAGGTTGCCGCACTTTTTACAGACCACCCAGATTTGCTTGACGAGTTCACAAGGTTTTTACCGGATGCTTCAGCTGCTGCAGCATCAGCACAACATGTTCCATTTGGACGACATTCTTTTCATCGTTTTGATGAGCGGAGTTCTGCTATGATCATACCACGGCAGGCACCCATGGACAAGGTATATTATTGTTTCCTTCCTTTCTTGGTTTATTTCTTTCTTCTTCCCCCGTGTTTGTTTACAAATTTTTCATAATGACAAGATAAACCTTCTATTTATTTTAGCAGCACCGGAGGGACAAAATTATTAATCCCCAAACAGATCGTGATCTAAGTGTTGAGCACAATGACATGGATGATGATAAAACAATGATGAAAATGCAAAGGGATCAGAGGAAGCGTGCTGAAAAGGAGAACAGGGAGAGACGAAATCGTGATCTGGATTACCGAGAACCTGAGCATGATAGCAATAGGGACTTCAACTTGCAACGGTTTCATGACAAAAGGAAATCTGCCCGGAAGGTTGAAGACTTTGGAGTGAATCCTGTTTTAGCCTCTTATGATGATAAAGAAGCCTTGAGAAGTAAGTTGATGATGCCACTTATGATTATAAAGATGCCTTCCGAAAATGATATTGGTTTTTCCTTTTAGTCTTTTTGTTTGTGATTCTAGCATTCTTGATGTAGAAGCAGTTGTGATTTATTATGTTCTGTTGCCATTGGGAAGTCAGCTTTGAAGTGACATATATCTGTGCTAAATCTTTTCAAATGTTGTGGAATTTATTATTATTTATTATTGGTTTTTGGAGGAATATATGTTGGAGGTTGGAAAATGACTGCACTGATGGGATTTCCATTCCACTGTTTTTCGATCTTGATTCCATGTTTTAATGAAGGTTCACTCTTACTGTATTGCATATGCCTTGCTGAGGCTGTTCCCCTGGTTTCCACAGAAGACTACCATCTGTCTACGCCTCTACTCTTCTCTCATTTCCCCTTTTCCTGAACTCTGATCTCCCCTTGTTGCTTATTGTTTGATTTCTTTGGAGAATATGCATATGCTTCATTTTATCTCACTGCTTTGAAGTTCAAAAATGTCAGTTTGTCTCTTATGGTATTCAGTTGGATTGCTGCCACATGTTGAATAAGCTTGCTATACGCTTATTTCTTAACTAATTTTATTTGTGGTTTGCTCAATATCATTCCAGGCATGTACAAGCAAGAGTTCATTTTCTGTGAGAAAGTGAAGGAGAGGTTGCGTAGTTCAGATGATTACCAGGCATTCTTGAAGTGTCTTCATATTTACAGCACAGAAATAATCACAAAAAAAGATTTACAAAGTTTGGTATGTGAGATCCTTGCTATCTATCCCGGTGGCGATTTTATTCTTTTGCATCTATAGAACTACTAACTGTTCCATTTGCAAACAATAACTTGGGTTAACAACCCTTATTAAATTTGCACTACTGATTTCATATGGTGTTCAGTCGTAAATTTTTATCAAAAAATTAGTTGTCCAAATACTATAAGTGTTTTTAATATATGAAAGAAAATATTAAATTTGGTTTACAATTTTTGTTTGGTTTACAAAATTAGGGTGGATTTATTTGAAATATTTTGTTTTGAATACTGATTATTTCTTATTAGAATAAAATGTTAGCAGGTTAGAAAAATAAATTTTGATTACAACTTCTTTTATGATTAAATAAATATTATGAACTAGTTTACTTGATAATAAGCCCAGAGAATTAATTTCACAAAATCAAATAGGTAGCACAGGTCACTAACTAATCAAGATGTAATCCTATATTGTAGGTAAATCAAATAAACTTTCACTAGTCCTGTTTTAGATTTGGAAAACATGAGATGTGTCCCACATATGAAGAAGTAAATCGAATTTTGGAGATATCCGAAAATGTCTTTATTTAATTTGATATTAAATGAGGAGTAAATGATGATGTAAAATGGGTTTAAAAATTAAGACAAGGGGCAATGAGGGAGTCGGAGATTTATCAACAAAAATAAATAAATAAATAAATAAAATGAGGGAGTCGGAGTCTCTATATGCAATGAGACAATAAAGAATGCTATATTAGAGTGGACCAATTTATTGTTAACTCTTCCAGGGCTACCATTGATCAACAAAAGCTTTTAGGGCTCCAACTTACTTATTTTAAAGATCCTCAGTTAGAAGCACTATAAGTACATATTGGAATTTCTAAATCTTGGGGTGGGGGGTATGGGCCCTGCTTGCCACCCTGCATCCACCGATGCTTCCTTTTTAAGTAATATTATTCAACAATAGATTTTCGTTATTACCTTTTACTTGCTTTTGAAATTGTTTGCAAGTTTTTTGTTTTTTTGTGGGTCGTATTTGGTGGAATTAGGTTATTCTGAAACTTTGCCCGTTTCAGGTGTCTGATCTGCTTGGAAAATATCCTGATCTGATGAATGGGTTCAATGAATTTTTGGAGCGCAGTGAGAATATGGGTATATCTTTTGAAATTTTATGGTTGCTTAACTTGTTTGTTCTGGATATATTAAGGTTGTTTCTAATTAAGGCCTCATTTGCAGATGGATTCCTTGCTGGTGTTATGAATAAAAGTATGTGACATTACCTTTTTCTTCATAATAATATTCAGCTTGCTTGTTTTCATTTTTCAGAAAACACTTTTCAGAAAATTCTATTTTCTTATTTTTCGTGTTTTTTTGTTTTTACTGAATTTTTAAAATATTTTAAGCAATTTTTTTACCTTTTAGATACACCTAACATAAATACACCTAAAAAGTAAAAAAATTATAAAAAAAAATCTTTTAAAAATTCACTAAATACAAAAAATACAAAAAAAAAAATACAAGAATTCAGTACATTTTTTGTATTTCTATGTATTTATTAATTTTTTAAATTATTTTTTCACAAATTTTTTACTTTTTAGATACATCTAAGGTGCATCTAAAAAAGTAAAAAAAAATGTTTAAAATTTAAAAAATATTCACTAAAAACAAAAGAATTCGAAAACCAAAAAACTCAATTTTCAAAAAACTTAATCCAGAAAACTCAAACCAAACATACTGATAGTAGTAACATTTTTTTTTTTTTTCCTCCAGTTGCTCGTCAAACTTGCCATTCTAAAGTGCAGCATTTGTTTCATAATTTATAACTGAATGGAGGAGTAGAACTATTTATTTTTTTTAACTTTTTGACTGCATGGTTTAAGCAAGTTGAACAAACTGCTGGATATTTTGCATTTTTCTGTGTTTCAAAAAAATTGACGTAGTTTTCCTGTTAATAGCAGAATCTTTGTGGAGTGTTGAAGGGCCTGTATCCAAATCCGTGAAGGCAGAGGACAAAGATAGGGAGCACAAGCGTGAAATTGATGGAGCAAGAGAAAAGGAGAGATACAAGGAGAAGTACATGGGAAAATCCATTCAAGAACTTGACCTTTCGAATTGTCAACGGTGTACTCCTAGCTATCGCCTTCTGCCTGAGGATGTATGTTTTTTTTTTTTCTTTTCCTTTTGTTTGTGTGGATATCAATAATTTTGGTCTTGATTGGGAATTTGTGCTTGACACTATGCAGTATCCGATACCTTCAGCAAGTCAGAGATCAGAGCTTGGTGCTCAAGTGTTTAATGACCATTGGGTATCTGTAACTTCGGGCAGTGAGGATTACTCTTTTAAACACATGCGCAGAAACCAGTATGAAGAAAGCCTGTTTAGATGCGAGGATGATAGGTAAATAATCTCTCCAATATTTTGTTAGAAGTACCCCTTCTCTCATTCTCTTGCATTAGTTAGCTAATGTTTTTCTTTTTAATTATTATTTATCAATTTATATTCATCACTTTTCAACTACTTATTTATGTATGGAAAGAGAGAGGCAAAATCATGTTCTTGCATTCGCAGAATTGAATTTTTTATTTTTTTAAAGTATCTTGTTTTAGTGTAATGGCTTGAATGATTTGTATGTTTCTGTTATAGATGGAAGTTCTCTTATTATATTGGTCTAGGCTTTGTTAAATTGACTTGCTTAATGATGTAACTTTGTTACTACAATTTTGCCTTTTTTTGCTTTGATAAGTTACGATGGAATTGTCATTTGACACTTTCAGGTTTGAGCTAGACATGTTGTTGGAGTCTGTGAGTTCAACTGCTAAGCGAGTGGAGGAATTGTTGAACTGCATTAATGATAATACGATTAGTCTGGAAAGTCCAGCCCATATTGAAGACCAATTTACAGGTTTATAGTTGTATTATCTCCGGGCATGTGTTTAAAAATTGCTGTCACACCTTGTTTGTTTTATTTTTATTTACAAGAAATATACAATGGTCCTTTATTTTCTGCCTATGTTGGTTTTCTTTCATTTCATGTAGCTCTCAACTTAAGGTGCATTGAACGTTTGTATGGTGATCATGGCCTGGATGTGATGGACATGCTACGAAAGAACCCATCTGTTGCATTGCCTGTTATATTAACTCGCCTCAAGCAGAAACAAGAGGAGTGGACGAAGTGCCGTTCTGATTTCAACAAGGTTTGGGCTGAAATATATGCTAAGAACCACTACAAGTCTCTTGATCATCGGAGCTTCTATTTCAAGCAACAGGATTCAAAGAACTTGGGCACAAAATGTAAGTTGAAGTTCAATATGAAGATGATAGTAGCTGTAGATGCTAGATGATTTTGATGCTTTTTGATATTAAACTAACATCTACAGCTGTGATGCTTTTTGATCTAACATCACAGATGATGATATTATCAAAATCATCTAAGATCTACAGCTACTGTCATCTTTGATGCTTTTTGATCTAACACTGGCATTCTTGCCACCATCACATCTATCTTTGCTGCATTCTTTTTCCAGTGCTTGTGTGAAATTTGGCACTGCCGTCAACCTACCACCACTGTAATTGGCACAATTTTTAATTTTTAACTGTTGTTCACTACTATTTCCAATTTCGAAGGGATATTGCATATTTGCACCACTTTGTTGCAATTGGGTAGACTGCAAAGATATGCATTCACTCATACCTAATATAAATTGGCAGACATTGTTAACCAGTTTTGCTTGGTATCCAAATGATAGCATCATTTTATATTTCATACACATGTTTGATTTGTTGCTGATAAAAAAAAAGTGTCTGATTTGGAAATAATGGATATTATACATTTAGAGATTTCAAAGTTCTTATATTACCTAATGTTTTCTTAGTACTGATTTTGTAATGGATTGTTTACACGTCATGTTTCTTAGCATTTACAATTTTTTTTTAATAGTTAATGTCATGTTTATATTAGTTGCAGAAGCATAAGTTTATTATTTTATGGTTCATTGATGTTCTCATTTTTTATCCACAATTACATCTTACTTAAATATGGATGATGGAATGGTTAATGCAAGTTTATAAGGGTTTGGCTGTTTACATTTTAATGAAGATAATTTTTGAGATGTACAAGGTTTATCTTCATATGATCTTTTGTTTATGTTACATCTGCTTTTTGTTCTTATGGATCATTTATGTTCTTCTAATGAACAGCCTTGGTGGCCGAGATAAAAGAAATTAAGGAGAAAACACAAAAAGTGGATGATGTGGTTCTGGCTGTAGCTGCTGGAAGCAGACATCTTATAATTCCAAATCTTGAATTTGAATACTCTGATACTGATATTCATGAAGATTTGTATAAGCTTATTAAATATTCTTGTGAAGAGGTTTGCACAACAAAAGAACAATTGAATAAAGTTATGAGGCTTTGGACTAACTTCTTGGAGCCAATGCTGGGTATTCCTACTCGGCCTCACAGTTCAGAGGATAACGAAGATGTTGGAAAGGCTAGACATCAAGCTGGGAAAAATGCTAAAGCTAGCATTGGAGAAGGTGATGGTAGTCTTGATGCTGATATCTTGAATTCGAAACAATTGAAACCTGCCAGCAATGGCGATGAAGGCACTTCAGCAGAGCAAGCAAAATCTAGCAAGATTAGTGTGTCAAATGGGGATACTTCGGCTAAAGATGATAGTAATCATATTGAGAAAGAGCAGAAGGTTACGGCTGTTGTGGTTACGGTGTCTGGATTTGATGTAACAGAGGGTTCCAGTGAACAACTAACCAGTACCAGTGCAGCAATTGCTATTGGAGCTGATAACATTCATGGGCGAATCAGCACGACAGTGACATCAGGTTTGTTTTGGCATTATGGTAGCATGATTTATATTCTTTCATGATCCACGGTGTTTAATTGACATCCGCTCTAAATATTTAATTCATTCTAACATGACTTATCCTTCCCGGTTTCTAGTTTTGATCAGTGTTGACCAGTTTATATTTAGATTCCTCCTTTCTGTCTCTTTCACCCTCTCCCTCTCTTTCTCTCATGTGGACTTTTAAATCATTTTGCAATGCTGAGTTTTTTTAATTTTTTTTTATATATATAATTTCAAGGGCATGCTGCAACTCCTCCTGCCTCTTGTCATGCTGCTGTTGAAAATAATAATGACGCCAAGCCTAAGATCGATGATGTACCTTCGTTAGAGGTATGTGTGTTTGCTGTTGTGAATGAGTTGAAGATCGTACTTGCATTGGCTTAAGCATATATCCTTTGGTTTTGAGATTTTGTGGATGTTTCCCCTGGTTCTGGTCTTGGTTATTCTATATTAAAATGTTAATATATATATATATATATTTTCTTCTTTAGGGTGGTAATGTGTTGAGGCCAGTTCCTCTGGAAAATGGAGCCATCCCAGAGGGTACTATAGTTAACAGATATCATAAGGAATCTGCTGAGCCCTCCAAAATTGAGAAAGAAGAAGGTGAGCTATCACCTAATGGTGGTGATTTTGAAGAGGATAACTTTGTTGTCTATGGAGATGGTGGTTCACAGGCAATGCCTAAAACGAAGGATTGTGCTGAAAGTACGCAGTACCAAGCTGGGAATGGGGAAGAGATGTGCTGTCAGGATGCTGGAGGAGAAAATGATGTAGATGCTGATGATGAGGACAGCGAAAATGTTTCTGAGGGTGAAGATGTTTCAGGCAGCGAGTCTGCTGCCGACGAGTGCTCTCGAGAAGAGCAAGAAGAGGATGAAGATGGAGAACAAGATGAGATTGATGGTAAAGTTGAGAGTGAGGGTGAGGCTGAGGGAGTACCTGATGCACACTTTATTGGAAGTGGCATAGCTCCACCACTGTCGGACAATTTTCTTCGTACGGTGAAGCCTTTTGCCAAGCATGTCGCTTCAGCTTTACATCATCATGAAAAGAAAGATTCTCGGGTGTTTTATGGAAATGATAATTTCTATGTGCTTTTTAGGCTGCTTCAAGTAAGGATATTGTTCTTTCCTTCTTTTCATTTTCGTTTTCTAACTTGGGTTGTGGTGGTCTTCAATCTAATTTTTTTTCTTAATAATTATGATATACTTTTTCTATTCGTCTAGATACTGTATGAAAGATTACAATCAGCAAAACTGAACTCAACACTTGCTGAAACGAAATGGAGAACAGCAAAGGATGCTAACCCCCCTAATCTGTATGGCAGGTGGTTTGACATGGCACGTTTGTTTTTTAATCAATTTATAATTTCTTGATTCATTTTATTTATTCACAGCATGTGCCGTGCAGATTTATGAGTGCCCTATATAATTTGCTTGATGGATCAGCTGACAATGCAAAGTTTGAGGATGACTGTCGGGCTATTCTTGGAAATCAGTCTTATGTGCTATTTACGTTGGACAAGTTGATATATAAGCTACTGAAACAGGTAATGTCCCAATGAGCCCTATTTTGTCCTTTCATGGATCCTTTTCGAAGGTTCTAATTTGTTGTTTTTGTTGTAGCTTCAAACTGTTGCTGGTGATGAGACTGACAATAAACTCCTCCAACTATATGAGTATGAAAAATCTCGGACGCTTGAGAACTATGTTGATTCGGTTTATTATGACAATGTGCATGTCATCCTACATGAAGAGAATATATATCGATTTGAATGTGTAAGCCACTTGCTTTTTTGTTCTCTTTCTTATTATTGGGAGTGTTCTATTGTCGTATCTGGATGTTTGAGTTACCTTCTATACTTATTGCAGTCTTCTGGCCCATCCCGTTTGTCCATTCAGCTAATGGATGATGGGAATGACAAGTCTGACATGGTTGCAGTTTCTGTGGACCCTAATTTTGCGAATTATCTGCACAACGATTTTCTGCCAGTTGTTTCTAGCAAAAAGGAGCCATCTGGCATTTTTTTGCAGAGGTATTTTCTTTTTTCAAATTTACGAAGTTCATTATTGCGAAGATGTATTTGGTCTCAACTCTCAAGCACCTTCACAGGGTCCATGGCATATGCTGAGTTTTGTTGGACCCGCCACCACATTGCCAAAATCAGAGTCATGTGGTTATGTCTATTGATTTCTGTTCTTTTGGTTCTGAAATTTGTTTCAATCTATAAGAAAATTGATATTCTTGGATTAGAAGTGTATGGTCTTTACAATTGTTTTGTTATGTGATTTCAATGGCATGTCTTTATAAAGCAAATTGTATTTTGTTATGGAATGATCTTCGACTGAGATGCCTAGGAAGAGCTTCACTTAGAACTGGGATATTACAAGAATAATTAGAATCAATGTATGATTTACTAATTAAATATGTATATATGGGTGAATTTGCAGAAATAAACGCAAGTATGCGGACCTTGATGAATCTGTTTCCTTATGCAAGGCCATAGAATGCATTCGTGTGGTCAATGGTTTGGAGTGTAAGATGACTTGTACCTCATCAAAGGTATTTCACTGTAACTATTCTTGTACATTGACACACTACAATTATCTGGCTGCAATTGGTTGTTTGGTTGTAGATTGACGTGGGAAAAGCTAATGTCAACTGCTTAATATCGGTTGTATGACATCTTTTATCTGTTTTGCTATATCATCTCATTAGCAATCTCTCTCTCTCTCTCTAGCAATAAGAAACTAAGATTTAGCAGAATTTTGGACAGCACCTACAGTATGGTTGATTTGAGCTCGGTGGATTGGGTTAGGCCTTCAAGGGATGAAAATAAGGGCTGTTAAGAGGCTGTGAATTGTAATTAAAGAGAAAAAGAAGGGAAGAGAAGAGAAGGAAGAATTTAGGAGTTTGGCCTACAGTTCCTTGGGAATCACCCTCTTAGGTAAAGGAGAAAAAGGAAAAAAAAAAAAATTTAAAAACACTTCAAAGTAAAGAATGTGGAAAGGAAAAGAGGCCGGGAAGTTGGATTGGGTGACTTGTCAAATTTTTTTTTTTTTTTTTGTTGTTGTTGTAATGGGTGACTTTAAAACTGACATTAGGTTGTAGGGGTACTTTTATATATTTCTGAAATAAGTCCTTGCATGTGCGCCCATGTTTGTGTTCTGTTCTGAATCTTTCTTTGTTTTTCTCACATGTAATTTTCTCCGCTCTCTGATTATTATAGTTTTATGTGCCAGATCTCGTATGTTTTAGATACAGAAGACTACTTCTTTCGTGTGAAAAAGCAAAGAATGTCAGGTGACAAAGTGTCATGCCTTAATAAGGAAAGAGTACGGCGCTTTGACGAATTTGTTTCTTGAAGGTAAATAGGGTTCTACTTATTTAAGTTTATCAATCGAAATTGAATTATCACAGCATATAAAACGAAGTAAAAACACCATTTTCACATGTTTTCTCGTGTATTTATTGTCTTCACAGTCATTAGAAGACGACCTGTAAAGCTTTTGTCATGGAAGCACATTTCATGTATTCAGTTATTCACTCCATTAGCCAAATAAAGACTCTCAACAAAGGGAATGGCAGCGAACACCACCACCATGTGAATCTCAGGAGCTCACAACTATGCATTTGAGCTCATTGTTCTGTAGATAGGTTGAATCCATGATGTTACTGTAGAGTTTTTGTGTTTTACTGGTATGTACTGCTTTGTTTCATTTGTAGCTGTTTTTTGTTTTTTTTTGTTTTTTGAGTGGTGCCTAATGGTGGTACCGAGTTCTCCAGTAGTGAAACTTTTGCTAAGCTTATGTAATTTAAAGTGATTGAAATAGGGAAAAGGAATATATAGCACAGAAAAGCTTTTAAATTTGAAACCCACAGAGCCTGAATCTGTGTTGTCCTGAAAATGTTGGGGTTTCTTGGTGTTTAATTTCCCTTTCTGTTTCAGGCTTTGCGATAATTGAAATTTAGAGCAAGCAAAAGTAGTCACATTTTCAATTATACACAGCCAGAAGAAATAAAGGGAAAAAAAAGAAGAGATTATTATCATTCTGCAAGTGCAACTTTAAAAGGAATGTAAGTTTTGGGTAGTCATAATTTTATGGAGTAGAAGAAGTTTATTTGGTATCGTTTGTAAAGTTTTTGTTTTGGTTTGTGTTTTGAGATACCAAAAAATAATAATGATAATAATGAAAAGTTATAAATGACAAAAAGTGTTTTTGAAAATCCAGAATAATTTTATAATGTTTTAAAAAAAAATTCCACTAGAATTTGGAGGTCACTGCCATGTACCTCACACAGCCTCGACTGCTTGACTGTTGTAATTGATTAAATGTGGATAAACTTTTTATTAAGTATCTGAATACAACTGTAATTTGTCAATCTCTATGTCAAGTCTTATTTCTTTGACTGATTTGTAGCTCCTTCCAATGGAGTAAAACATGACTTCTGGATGTTTGTTTCGTCATTTGCGTGTGTGCGTGCGTGCGTGCACCAAAACAAAAAAAAACAAAGATTAAAAAATTAGTTGCAAAATCCAGTGGTTTCTTATACGTCAGGTAATGGAAATGTCTGAAAATACAGTTCTAATTAAATTGTTACAAAAATCATTTGAAGTAGTGGAAGAATTAAGATTCCAAATTATTTGAATCTAATAAAAAGTTAAATTTTTATTTTATTTTTTTTGAGAACAAACAAACATTTAATTACATAAGGCGAGCTTTGACATATGAGACAGTGATGTAAGTAAGTCCAATGCTCTGTTTGTCATGTCTTATTACCAAACCCTGTTTATATTCTGCTCAGTGACGCATGAATGTACTAAAATGAAAAGGAAGAACAAATGAGATCATTGCATATATAAGGTTTTTTCTTGATAAAAAACGAAAGTAACAAAGAGAAACAGAAAAACTGAAAACAAAATTAACCCACATAAAAAAAATAAAAAAAGAAAAAGAAAAAGAAAAAAAAAAGAATATACATCCTCTCTTTCCCCTTTTTTTCACTTACAACAAACCAACAGCACAACTTAGATGCAATCTGTTCTCCAAGCCTCTCAAGTGATGCCCCAATAACATACACCTGTCATCAAATGCACATCTTAATTTTACATTTCCATAGGAGTTTATATATATATATTTATAATCAGACAAATTGATGGGTATATTCTAGTTGCAGAATGACAAAATAACTTGTTTATAATTTTGTGTGAGATGTGACTTTAGCTTGTTGGTTGCTTCAAAATTCATCCAATTCACAATCTCGAAATGAAAATGAAATAAAGCAAGAGAGCATTAAAGACTAAATATACTAACCAGAAAAGAAGCTTTGCTAGGTAATCCCTTGAAGTGCCTATGGTATCGAAACATTCATCATCACCGTTTTGTAAGTTCTCCGTACTCCGTAGGGCTAAATCTCCCATAAAATCAACGCTAGATTCATCTTTAAAGAATTTCCTCAATGTGTTTTGAACAAGTTGGTGAATAATTTCCTCAACCTCTAAAGATGATGGTCGAGATAGTTCAGTCACCTGTTGAAACAAGTTACAGTTGGTAAGGAATCCCAACAGAGGCACTACTTTACATGATAACTAACTAGGTGATTACCATATCAGATTCCAAGGACCGTAAATACTCCAACAGATCATTGTTACTTTCTCTAATATATTCCATTTGCATATTTTCCTGCTTCCTGGCATCCAGTTCCTGTAGCAAACAACAATGATTCATACCACTAAAAAAAAAGACCACTAATAGCACTAATGCATTGGGAATGCCAAAACAAAAAAACAAAAAAAAACAAAGCATGGGCAGTGGGCGGGGCCCACTGCCACATCATTAGTGGTGCCATTAGAGCACCACTTTTAGTGATCTCAACCATTTTTCTGTAACAAAATACGCAAATCATCTTAAAAGTGGATAACTTTCAGGTACTTCCTTTCAAAAATCAGATCATAAGAGATGACAAATGTGAAACACCAACATATACAGAAGTATGATGATCATGATAACACCGATTTACAACAGTCCATCTTTAAAAGAAGGAAACAATTTAAAAGCATACAAACTTTTGAGTCGGTTAAGGAGCTGTTCCAATCTTGGTGTAGTGTATAGAGATTTATGTTGTGCTTTAAAAGGAACATTACTAGTCTCTTTCTTTCTTTTTTCTTTTTTTTCTTTTTTTTTTTGTATACACCATTGTACACAGTTGTGCCCTATGTGATGACATTTTATTTTCAACGAATAGGCTTCTTTTACATGTAAAAAAAGATCTATCTGTTAATCAGACTTCACATAAGTTCAACTTCTTACGCACAAATGTAGGACCGCTGCTCAAGAAAGCTGGCTTTGGCAGTAAACAAGTAATAATTGTAGTCATTCTCATGTTACTCTTAGAAACAGTAGTCTGATTAGTGGACAACACACCAAGCAACTGTTACATGAACAATAAGTTATAAATATGCACCGTGAGCTATATTCATCACTTTTAACATAGTCAACTACAGAACATACCAAGAGAAAATGTTTCAATTGGGAGAAAAATGAGTAGTTTTCATTTCATTTTCCTTGACCTAAAAATACTTTTTGAAATAAAATATTGGCAAAATTACAAAGACATTTATAAAATTTCAAAGATCCCATTCCTAAGATAAAAATAATTGCTTTTTAGCTTCCACTTGAATTAGCAGCCAGTTTGATTAGTTTTTCTACAAGTTCACAATATGTGTTTCTCTAAATTTTAGAGGAAAGATATTTTTTTTGTCAATGACTCAGCATTCCTATGTTGAGACTGTTATAATAGCTAGGCTACTGAAATGTAACTTAAAATTTATGCTCAGTATTCCTGGATGATAATTACAAGTCCAAGAAAAGCAGGGACCAACTATTCATTTGAATGCCAATCTAAAATGTGACTTCTAATTTCAATTGTCTTGCAACAACTTTCATTTTAGTCAATAACCAGAAAGGTTTTTCTGGAGTGGCATCCCCACATTCAATCATGTCATCAATCAGCTTAGATTATAAAGGTTCTTCTGCAAACAGCCAAGGAGCATCAATATTCTGATGACTAGTCCATTTCATTATCTGCTCCCTCCCTCAATTGCTTCATCAAAATCTACTGATGCAAGTACAGCCAAATAAATGCCAGCAAGATAGTAGTATAAAACACTCACTTCTATGTAATCCAAACAACACATGCTCCTAGTTTTTTTTTTTTTTTTTTTTTTTTTTTTTAACTTATAACTGATAAATTCCAAAACGAAGTTTAAAAAGACAAAAAAAAAAAAATCTAAATGGCGGGCCTTCAATTGGGATGAGTTAAATGCTACTCATCAATGATAAGTTGGTAAAGAAAATAAATTTGCAAGCAAATACCTCTATATTTGAAGAACATATGCATAAACTGCCATACATAGAGCTGCATCAAAATTTAGTAACTCTAAACTGTGCATAAAAAACTAGTAAACCAAAACTTGTATCTTCTCCAAAATCTGACCGACAAGTATTCAGATTTACACAAAGTTTCTGTTCAAGATTTTATAATTCCATCTATCATCCTTAATGAGCTACCGTGTTAATTTTTGAAATCTAAATTCAATACACAAATATGAGAGTAAAAAAACCTCACCTTCTTGGCCGTAGACAGCTCTGATTCTAACTGCTGAATGTAATTCAGAGCCTTGGGAGACAAATCCCCAAGACTTGGAAGATTAACGCTCTCCAAATCTTCAACGCAACAATCCACATCAACCTGACCAGCCCCACCCTCACTCTCCTCTCGCTTCACCTCCGAAATTTCACTTTCCCCTGGAAAACCAGACCTTTTCCAATTACTGGTCGACATACCAAAATTCCGCATCAACGAAATCCGATACTCTGCATTCCAAAGCGTATACCTAAAACAAAACCTCAATCAAGTAAATTCCTCCACAATTCAAGCACATATAATATAAAGAATACCTTATCTACGGAGATGACAGTATATGTATCGAATAATGAAGTAGTACAAGTGATTTTACCCAGTGATTATGGAAGACATAAGGAGGCGATCGAGAGGGCGTTTCGAAACCCTAACAGTGACGGAGAATTGATCGGAGGGAAGCAAACCGAGCATGGTGGAGATGGTCTGCTTCATGGAATCCTTGGCGGAATCAGAAACGCCCTTGGAGATAACGGAAGTGTCGAGAGGTTCGATCTTCTTGAGCATGTTGGAGATAACAGAGAATTCTCGATCGAAACCGGACTTTCGAGTGGAGACGAAGTCGTCGGAGACTCCGCCGCCGTCGACGCCGGAGACGAGGCAGCAGGAGGCGGAGGAGGGGCGGCGTTTCTTGAAGGAGGAGGAGGGGAGAAGGGGGCGGATGAGGAGGTGAGAAGGAGGGGGTGGTTGGAGGGGCTTGAGGGAGAGGTCGATGAAGCGAGAGATCAAAAAGGCCCTAGTTGTGGCCGCCATAGAAAAGAAAGAAGCTTAGCTTCAGGAGGTCTCTCTCTCTCTCTCTCTGTGAAGTGTGTGTGTCGTATGTCTTGTTTGTGTCTCTCCGGTGAAGAGAGCTCTCTCACGTCTTCTTCGATTCTTTCTTACCCTCTCTCCCAGCCCACCAATTTTTTCTTTGATTGCTCTCTCTTTTTATTTATTTATTTTTTTAAATATCATCATTATTACTATTTTTAAACAATTTGTTTTTTAAGTTAATTACACTAATACCCTTCAACGATTAAGAGTTGTTTGGGATAACCTAAATAAATATATTTTTTGTCTTCTTACGAAAAGATGTGCAAAAAAATAGAGAGGTGATATGATGAAAAAAATAAAAAAATAAAAAGATGAATTATTTTGTATATACCAAACTTGACCTTAATAAGAATCACTTTAATCTTTTATATAGTACATATTAACTCTTCAATTATAAAAATGTATATCACTTTCACTTCCTCCATGCTACTTTCAAAAAGGATATATTTGTACCATTTTTGAAATTAAGATAGTCAAAATGTACAGATTGATAGATAAGGGATTAAAGTGATATTTGTTAATAATTAAAAGAATTTTGGTGTAATAATTTTTTTTAATGAATAATTTGCTTGGTCACGTAAAATACCTCCATTCTTTGGGTTGTTTCACAAAGAAAATTAAAAGTAGATTATTATTATTATTTTTTTATTTTTTATTTTTTTTGCAAAGAAACATGTAAAAAATATAAGAGATGATACAATCTAAAATAAGTTAAAAGTTAGAAGATGGCTTTTAATAAGTCTTTATCCAAATAATGGATTCACCATTGAAGCAAAAGCTCTCTTGGAAAATTATTTGATATTTTCTGATGATTATTTGACAATGTTATTCCTTTTAATAAAAAATCATAACTCATATTAATTAAGTTATTCTTTATTTTCAAATTATTTAACAAAAGTGAATTAATATGTTTTATCAATAATTTTTTTTAGGATAAATTATAAATACATCCTTTAAAATTTGCTTAAAATACAAATTACCCCTGTAATTTAAAAAATTACAAATATCCTCTATATTAGAATTTTTTATTTAACAAAATTAACTAAAAAAATAAAATTCATAATTGTTATCCTATACAATAATAAAATTACCTAAATTATTAATTGAAACATATTTTTAACATCATTAAGAACAGTTAATTGACTTGATGATTTATTCATAAAATTGGCGATTTGTTATAAAATTAGAAACCACAAGGGGTGAATGTAATTTTTAAAATCACAGGAGACGATTCGTATTTTAATCAAATCTCAAATGGTGTATTTTTAATTTACCCAATTTTTTATTATATGATTGGTTTGAAACACGATGCAATCCTTTATTCTTGAAGTTTCAATTTCATTAATTTGTATTAAATTGACGACCATCTAAAATAATTATAAAATTCATCTATAATTCTATGCATTTTGGGTTAATTTAATCCTTAATTTTTTAATAGGGCATTTATGCACAAGTTTTAATTTATGAACTTATACTTTATTAAGTCTTAATTAAGATTTTTTAGACTTTAAAGTCCCATTAAGTCGAATTGCCCTTCAAATAATGATTATTTATCATTTATAATTATTTATAAAGGAATCTAATGATTTGATATTTATTTTGATTTTTAAGACTTTAAAATACTAATTTCCAAATTGGAAAATTTTTTGGAAAAAAAATTGATAATATTCTCGATTTTATTGGATAGTTAAATCAAACAAATAAATAAAAGGACAAAAACGTTTAATCTTATGCTCTTTTTTTCTCAATTAGTGAAACAGTTATATAAAACATTGCTATACAAAATTGATAATGTTCTTAGTTTTAAAAATTAAAAAAACTAATAATATTCTCATTTTACTAAATAAGATTTATTGGTTCAAAAATCTTTAATAGAATTTGAACTACTATAACATTTGTAAATAGGACTTTTAAATAATTAAGTTCTTTTTAAATTTTATTAATTTCATTCCTCAACAACACTGAAATATTATATTCATCTTCATGTTTAAGGATTAAAGTGCAAAATTTTAAACTTTTAGGTACCAATGTGATATGAAGCTTATAGTTTAAGAATCATATGTATATTATTCAATTAACAATTTAAATGGTCCATATAAATTGAAAATTTTGATTAAATAGTAATAAAATAATATGCATATTCATATTTATTATATATAATTATATTGATAAAGATTCGGACCCCCATTGGGCGTCACTCCCATGACCCCTTTTGTTTTTGATTGGTCAATTTTTTATTTTTTATTTTTCTTCTCTCCCAATCCCCAACCCCCACGTGTGTGGGGAGTGGTGGGGATGAGAGTTTTAAGGGGTCTCAATCATAATCCTAAGACCTCGTTTGAGAACAGACTAATTTAATAACTTATTAACTATTTAGCTAAAATATGAACTAAAAAAAACTAATATGTTTGAAATAATTTTTTGACTTTTTACAAAAAGATGTACAAAAAGTAAAAAAAAAAAAGAATCTTTGACTTTTAGTATAAATTGTTAACTTTTTGACTTTTTAATTAAAAGGGAGAGTTCCCAAACGAGGCCTAATTATATATATTAATAACAAAATTCAAATTGTTTGGATTGCAAGAGCCCATGCCTAATCTTAATCAAATTTATTGAGTGTACAAAATTTAGTTCAAGGTCTATAGTATTACAATTAGCATTTTTAAGTTCATCATAATAAAACAAATATCTAAACACAGTTCATGTTGGCAAGAAGTGCTGGAAATGCTAATAAACTTTTTCTATAAACATGTCATCAAGGCCTTGCATGTTCATCAAATCCAAGCTAAGAAACTGCAATTTACAACCGTAAATTGGAGAAACTAAAACCATCAATGCTATAATGTCAGGAGTAAATAAACGGGTGCTGGCTATTCTGGTTGGTGCATCAAGAAAATGCATCCAACATAAGGTTTAAAACTCATTGTCAAGAAAGAGAAACATAATATAGCATTCTCTGTTGAACTTGCACTTGATTTATCTCTAAAGTCAGAATAAGTGGGATCAAGATACTTCTTGCGTTTGTTTCTTCTCATCAACTTCGACATTCCAGGACTTCCATGCCGCAACATAATGAGCAAAAAGGTCGCTTAAAGCTGCCACACCAACAAAACCCATCTTCTATCATTTAACTGTGACATGAGATGTAAATCCAAATGAAAGCACAGCAGTTTATACATGATTCATGGTCCAAAAACATTATATGAAGAAGGATATCAAGCCCCAAAACATTGTACATAGAAATAATTTGAAACATTAACTTCCAAATCCTTATTGGTTCGTAGACGGAGGAACACGCATGCTGATTTGAAAAAGATCATCACAAACATATATACCTTTTTCCTGAATTTTGAGGTTGTGGATCACCAAGTAAAGATCATTGAATATTTGATAGCCAACAACATTGTCAATGATCAACTCACGACTTGAAGTAATTTTCATAACACACTACGCCAAAACAGGGTATTAACGGCGGTTTTTTAACGGTAATTTTCGTTACCGTCGTTAAAAAAATTGCTGCTAAAGTATCTTTAACTGCGGTAATGAAACCGCTGTTAAAAAAAACTACCACTAAAGCCCTCTCTTAACGGCGGTAATGAAACCGCTGCTAAAGCCCTCTCATTACCGCCGTTAATGACGGCGGTCTTTGCCGGCAGAACTCCGGCAAGTGGTGACCACGCACGGCCAGAGGTTGAACATGACTATCTACAATAAAGAAAAAGTAATGTTTAAATATTTATTTAGGGAATATATTTCATATAGAGTGGCTGTGGTGGAGTGGTTGGCGTGCGTGGATTAGAGGTCAAGGATTCGAGACTTGAGGGGTGCAAGAAGAAAGAATTACTTTTTTAAAAATTTGAACCTATTTACGGCGTAAAGAACCGCCGTTTTTTGTCCTATATTACTGCCGTTTTTTATCGACTTTTAACAACGGTAATTTACCCTTTTACGACGGTTGTACCTTTTCCGACGCGAGTATAAACGGCAGTTCTAAATTACCGCCATTAAAGGCTTTAACAGCGGTTTTACATCCTGTAACGGCGGTAAAAAACCGCCGCTAAAGCCCAATTTTGGCATAGTGACAGAAAAGTTGAACAAGAAAAATCTGATATGTTCATACTTTATCATCCCAATGAAATGCCGCAACAATTTGCAGTAGTGCACAGTACTGCACTATATGCTAGGTATGTATGACCCAGAAAAGTGATAAGGGGTACTCATAATGTAGTAGTAAAAGGTACCTTGGTTGTGATACTGAGGACGATAAGAAGCCAAGTCTTCCAAGTCTTTAACTCGTCTTTCATTTTTGTTTCCTGAATCTCCCACTTTGGGCACACTGGCTGGAGTGAAAGGGCCAAATACAAAACCCTTGGATGAATATCTTCCTTGCTGCTCCATTGAGCTCCTGTCATGTGTATCTTTCGAATTGTTGTGTTTCATAAGCATTGGCATATCTGCCTTCTCATTTGAGTTGCAATCAATTGAAGATTCGGACTTAGATTTTTTAGAAAGGTGTTTGTGATCTCAGCTCCAAACACTCTTCTTTTAGAATCGTTAAATTCCAAAGAAGTAGGTCCATTCTTGGAACTTCCATTTATCCCCAACCACCTAAATGCCGGTTTCCTGCTCTCTGCGTGCTGAGTCTGAAAATCACATAGATCTAATGAGAAAAGGATTGAGGATTTTTTTCCCCCTTATGCTTATTTGCACTTACTAATCAATAAAATTTTAAAATGTAATTTACCTTTTCAATGAGATTCATGGATGAAAAGACATTTGCAATATCATAGAGGCGCCTTACTTTTGCTGCAGAATTATCTTACATAGATAAAGCCAAAATAACAAAAGTGTTTCTCCCATCTTCACTATATATAATTTATAAGTATCAAAGCATAAAGATGACAAAAAATTCAATTACTTCTCATAGCTGTTGGATCGTGAATGTCACCAAGCAATGCTGTTGCTGCATTATCTAAAGAGATCAAATCCTCCTAAAAGAAAGAACTGAAACAGATAAAATAAATGCAAGAAAGTAAACTAGTTTGTTAATGGATAAATAATGTACATATATGTAGCTTACGTGGGAACAAATGAAAAGCTTGA